TTTTTTTTTTTTTTTTTTTTTTTTTTTTTTTCTCCTTCTTGTGTGTTGCAGGGCCAGATTTCACAGTAATAAATAACATCTTACCAAAAGGTAATTAATAGTCCAAATCAAGCTACTGGAAATATACTAACTGGGGAATGGTATGTAAGTCTGGTTAGGTGCTTAAGGAAAAATAATAATTACAACAAAATTAAGTTAATAGAATATTCATTCGCATTTTACATGAACTGGAAAAATTATGTTAACATTGTCTATGATACCGTCTTTCCAATTTAAGCCAGTTATTTTTGATTCAGGTTATTAATAAATAATGTTATTAATAAATAACATCCTTTGGGCCTTGCCATCTTGAAGTCATTAAAGTGTGTTCTTAATTCAAGGTAGCAGCTGCTTCAGGTCAGCTTGGCAGCCTGTTGCAAACCCATCTGTGTCAGACGCTTCAACTGATGAGTCACAACTGAGAGCAGGTACAAATTTATTTCTGTCATCTCTGTCTCAAGAGCTGCAGTCTCCAGGAATTAGGACAGGCAGCTGTTGAAGATAAAGCCTGCAGAAAGATGTCCAGGACTCAGAGCCTTTGCATAAAGTTAGTAAAAAGAAGCACTGAAGTTATGTGGTGACCAAACAGCAGTCCTTGGAAATCAGGTTAGACTGCCCTGAAATCTTTCCTTTGACCTATTTATTTATGTCAGTCTGCTGTAGTTTCGTTTGCTTTTTTTATTAGCAGATATGACTCGAGAACATACCAGCTTCCTTTTAGAAAAGACAACACATAAAGAATATTGTGCCACCTAGGCGGTGCTGTAGGACTCACACAATRAAAACAAGAAGTGATTTTGTAGGAACTTAATTATTTTCATCTTGCAGCAAAGCTGGTCTCTAAGTTTACCTGTGAAGAAAGTGCCTCATGCTTTCTGAAACACATTATGTAAATAAAACATTCAGCAGGATTTTGACCCGTACACTTTGAAAGTCRGAGAGATTTTTGCCTTGGACAGCAAGGGAAGCCGCAGCAAGGATGGGACCTTTCCTGCCTTTTGAGAAGTTGCTCATCTTTAGCTAAAAGGCATTGCAATGCAAGATGCTAAATTGTTATTTAATTAAATAATGCAAGACTGCCCGAGGCACACTACTGCTCGGCTCTCTGGCTTCGTTAGCTTGTGTGATGTGGATTTTTTTCTTGTGGCCTGACCAAGTTCCTACTTGGGAGAAACAGCAGATTTTGAAGAAAAAAGTGAATGGGGCCGTTTGCAGCTCTCAGATCTATTGTTTTGGGCTCTCTGCACACTCAGGAAGACATCAGTTATATACGAGTCACTTGCGACTTTTCTCTGAATCTGCACAACCCAAATGTAATGTTTAGCAACTCCTTAGACTCTGATCTCATGATGAAACTCCGGGAACCGAAGCCTGCTTATGTTTTACTCTGACCCTGACTGGGATTATACAGGACATTTTAGCAACAACCCAACCAGGAAGTCCGCACCCTGAAAATTTACAGTCTAAATTAATGGACTTTATAGATGGGAACCTTTATAGTAGTGATAATTCTTCATTTGGTGACGTTTGTATTTCTTGTTCTGCAGCTAGAGCCTAGACTGAACTTGGCTAGAGACACGTGGACACAGTTGGTGCCTCATCTCCAGCAGATGCTGGTCTACACTTCACCCATTTGCTGTTGAGACAAAGCGCTAGCCCAGGACTACAGAGACCTCAATGCTCTAGTTGGCCTCCTGTGACCATTTATGCCCAGAGCAATGAGGAGAAAGTACCTTTAAGCTCTTAGTCCCCAGTCTGTGTCAGTAACAGCATCCTTGCTTCTTAAAACTCTCATGATAAAAGCATCCAAGATGCTGGTGTAGGGCCTGGGCACTGCAGAGATGTTTTAAAATGCTTGTGATACAGTAATCTGCACTTAATAGGAAATGCAGTGATCCCTAGCAGGCTTGATTTCAGTTCACTTGCAGCATTAGAGGAGCCTGTGTCTCACTGCTGTGTGATGAGAAGAAGAGTTCAGCAGCACAATGGGAAATACTTTTCCGAGCCAACTTTGTTTARAAGTAATTAAAAATGAGGTCTTTCTATTCTCTGTGCAGCCTGATGTCCTAGCTTGTCATGTGGCTCGACACATTCTTTCCAGCTCCTTTCATGGCACAAACAAGTTAGGATGCTGCTATTCCGTGTCCCTCTTTTTGAGGGTTTGGGGGCAAAGATGCTGCAYGGCTCCTGAGACTGGGTCAGCTCGACTTTCGAGGCACCCAAGAGGTAGAGCACAGGCACACCGTGTTAAATCACCCATGGGTGTTTCCTRGATCCATCCACTCGCCCTCTTCCTCTCCCTGCTTGTGGGAGATGCTAAAACCATCCAGTTTTGGAGCATGCTCACGCTTTGGAGCGGCTCTTCTCTTGCTGGGTGACACTGGGCACAGCGTGGTGTGTGGCACAGAGCAGCGAGGCAGGGCTGTAATCTGCTAACAATAAAAGCGAGGTGGCTTGCTGCCACTCAGCACTGCAAGCTATACAGTCATGAGGGTTTTCCTTCAGACAGCCGTGGCCATGCATTTCCTGGAATAAGGACAAGGCCACACAGCTTCAATCCACCAAAAAAACCCCGGCAGTGAGTAAACAAGCCATGCTGCTGTGTAGTCTTCTCTGGGTGACAAGAGTCAGAGATTTTGTGTTTCCATGGAGAAGGAGGGAAGGAAAAAAAAAAGCCTCAACATTGGAGTGGGAAGGTGGAACAGCCTGATCCTGCTTCCCCAAGACAGGTCTCCAACCAGCCCTGATCTGCTTCCCCAAGGCAGGTCTCCAACCAGTGCCTCCATTCACACTATTCCTGACCCCCTCTCTGAATGAAAGCCATTTTTGAGGACAGAGGATTTAGCTCATTACTAGTTGGAAACTAGTAAAATATCTGTGAAAG